CCGGCGCCGCAGCGCGGGTCGCAGCGGCCGGGCGGTGCGGCCTGGGGCTCTCCGCCCTCCGGCTCTCTTCGCGCGGGGGAGCCCCAGCCGCGCCTCGGCTGCGTTTGCACCTACAAGTGCCACAGGCTTATTTTGTCTTTTCCCCGGCACTGCCCCCCTGAGTTGTGGAACGGGGCTAACGCCTCTTCTGTCGCAGGAGGCCGGCGAGAGGTAACGCTGCTGGGGCCTGAGACCGATGCAGGCAGTGCCTGGCTACTGTTCCCCGGAGAGTCTCCTCCCGTGAAGCCCAGTGGAGGTAGGTTTATTTTGAAAAGGCTTCAGCCAAGCTTTTCTTTTCCTCTCGCAGTGAGCTGAAGAGACGGTTGAAGGCAGAGAAGAAAGTAGCTGAGAAGGAAGCAAAGCAAAAAGAGCAAAGTGAAAAGCAGCCGAATAAGCCCGCCTTGGCCCCAGGCCCCGAGAATGACCTTGGCGCCGATGAGGAAAGCGTGGATCCGAATGTGAGTTGCTCGTCTGTTGTAGCTGTGAGAATCAGTCTTGCTGCTTCTTACCTGATTTCTAACCGTGCTGTTTGGAGAATCAGAGTGGTAACGAGCTGTGACTGGTCCTGTTTCTCTTCCAGGAAATGTTTCAAATGAGTGTTTGGTTTACCTGCTCGCTGTTGAGGAAGGAAGTAACTTTCAGTGTTAGAGATTTTTGCCTGTTAATGGCTCCTCGTTTTGAAGCATAAAAAATATATATATTCCAGTTGTACAGGTGGCTGCAAAATCCAGGCTAATGCTGATAATTTCAGCTGAATGAGGGATTTGATCCCTGGGTGAAGTGCACGGCTCCTCTTTTACCGTGGAGGAACTGGTGCAGGGATGGGATTTATCTTATAAAAGGAGTGTTGAGCAGCGTGTCAATAAGGTCTTGTTTCGGCTCTGGACGGTGAACCCACAAGTATCTTATAAAACCAAGGTCTCTAATATTCCTGTAGAAAGTGGCTTGATGGAGAGAGTACTAGGAGAGTTTGGTTGGTAACTACGTAAAGTCATGAAACTCCTTTTTGCAGCATCGTGCTGCTTATCTCTTAATTTAGGCTCCAGCTGTGCCTTCAGCCTTTCTCTGAACATACTGCCAAACAAATTTCCTCTTTAGGTGGACAAGTCTTCATTACCTCAGGTGCAGACTAATTTTTGTGATCAAATACATCCACGGAAATCAAATACGGCTGCTTTTTTTGTAGTTTATGAATTGCAAAATTCCTTCAGTCTTTAACAAATGTTTTTGGTCCTTGTTTATATCTGATGACAGCAATATTACAAGATTCGCAGCCAGGCAATCCAGCAGCTGAAAGGCACGCATGAAGATCCTTATCCACACAAGTTCCATGTAGATCTCTCTCTCACAGACTTCATAGAAAGGTACAGCCATCTGCAGGCAGGGGATCACCTGACGGACATCACATTAACGGTGGCAGGTAAGACTTTCTTGGGACTCGTTCTTGGAGACTCATGTGGATATCTCCACAACTCTGGATTCTGCACTTTGCTTCCCCATGGTCTTAGGGATGTAGCAGGGTTGGACTGTATTAAGGGTTAAGCATTTGAAGTCCAAGGGTATTTATTGCTTCAGAGCACCTGACAACAGAGACCTGGTCTTGGGTGAGGAGCTATAAGGTCGCTATGTTTAAGAACTTTTGTAAAATGAGGTTAACGTTGAGACTTCAATTATCTTAGTCCGCTTGCCGAGCAACCGATGAGCTTAGAAGCAATGCCTGTGGTTGTGATTATGCTGTGCCATGGCTTTGCCATGGGGATGTGTTTATATTGAGGACATGAAACATTTGCTGATTTTGACTTGTTTTAACCTTTGGGCTTTTAGGTCGAATTCATGCAAAACGAGCTTCTGGAGGGAAACTCATCTTTTATGATCTTCGCGGAGAGGGAGTCAAGTTGCAAGTCATGGCAAATTCCAGGTAGATAAGAATGTTATAATTGCATTTTAAATGAAACTGTGCTTTTTGGGAGGTCTAAAAGATGACTCCTCTTTAGCTAGTCTGAGCTTCCAAATTTATAGCTGGGTGGTGTAGAACTCAGTGGAGTACTTTCTGGTTCCTGGGTTAGCCACTAACTCTGCACTAAGTATTTTGGAAGGTGGAGAGCCTTGATGAGCAAAGCTGAGGTTGTGGATCTTGGAACAGATTTGCTTAAATTTTGTTAAATAATTGCAGGTTCTACAAATCTGAGGAAGACTATGTCCATGTTAATAACAAATTGCGTCGTGGGGACATCATTGGGGTTCAGGGGAATCCTGGCAAGACAAAAAAAGGGGAGCTGAGTATTATTCCCTATGAAATCGCTCTCTTGTCTCCCTGCCTGCACATGTTGCCTCACCTTCACTTCGGGCTCAAAGACAAGGTAACTCCCCCACCCCACTCCCATCTACCACTCTTGGTGTTAGAGCTAAATTGATAGCTGAGACATGGGTCTGATTTTATGACCCTTTTGTCTTCATGTGGCGTGAAGGCTTATCAATTTTTAATATTTCCCCATTTGAACTTTAAGTTTAACCTGCATTATTCTAAAATTATTTGTCCTTTTTTAGGAAACTAGATATCGTCAGCGATACTTGGATTTAATTCTGAATGACTCTGTGAGGCAGAAGTTCATAACCCGTGCAAAGATCATCACATACCTTCGGAGCTTCCTGGATGAGTTGGGCTTTCTTGAGGTAAGGCTCGCTATGTACTGCACACTTAGACCTTCAGCTCTGAGCATACGTGCTATCCTGCCCTCTACCTGGGGCCGTATTCTATATATGGATGTAAGTGCGAGGAGCGTACATTTTTACTTTGACACATGTACATTGTTGGCTTTGTGCAGAGCTGTAAAAGGCAAAGTGTGTAAAGAAGTATAGTTCATTTTTTAGTCTGCTACACTTTTGGAGCCAGGGCAATCTGGGGAGTTGGGGAAGAGGGGGCTGCCTCATCCACCAGATTCCCATTGTGGGAGCAGTTCAAGTTATCCATTATACCTTCTCCTTGTTACCTTCTTCCAGGATTAATCCTTGGTGAATAACACCATTGAGAATGGAACAAACAGGTTTTTTCTTTAGACAGTGCATACACGCTAGTTTACATAAAGCAAAGATTGATTTATGGCCACCTATAAGTTTATCGGGGTGACCACCAGTATCTGGGGGAACGTTTGTTCACCAGAGCGCCCCAAGGGATGACGACTAGGTCGAATGGTCATAAACTACTACAAGACCGTTTCAGGCTGGACATAAGGAAGAATTTCTTTACTGTCCGAGCCCCCAAGGTCTGGAACAGCCTGCCGCCGGAGGTGGTTCAAGCGCCTACATTGAACACCTTCAAGAGCAAACTGGATGCTTATCTTGCTGGGATCCTATGACCCCAGCTGACTTCCTGCCCTTTGGGCGGGGGGCTGGACTCGATGATCTTCCGAGGTCCCTTCCAGCCCTAATGTCTATGAAATTTGTAAGGCACAGCAGAAAGGGACGTAGCAGAAAATGTCTTGTTTTACTTCCTGGCTCTTCCACATTTGCTTCCACTTCTATTCTCAAAATAGTAATCTCTTATTTACTCAATCATGTTTAGTCTTTGTAATCACTTTATCTAGTGAATCACTGAAGCTTCTAGTAGATTTATGTAAAACAACTAGTTATTTGAGAACAGTTCCTTCTAATCTTCAAATCCTTCTAACTTTAGTCTCAGTGCAGGATTGTGAAAGGATAAATGGAATGAAAAGAATTCACATTTGGGCCAGGGGGTTTGTTGCCTTGGCTTACCTTGGGGTGGGGTTGCCTTGGGGGTTTGTTGTATTGGCACAGTATGCTTTATCAGTACAGCAGTCCCGTGAGGAGTGGTGGTGTGTGATGTATGTGAGGCAGGAGAGTAGAAACATTGGAGCTTTTTTTTAATGCTGCACATGTTTGTTTTTTCACCAGATCGAAACTCCCATGATGAACATTGTTCCAGGCGGGGCAGTGGCTAAACCTTTCATCACCTATCATAATGAACTGGACATGAACTTGTACATGAGAATTGCTCCTGAACTCTATCACAA